CACTGGGGCAGTGATCCTGCTCGGTGCGGCTGCCCTGACTCTGGCAGCCTGGTTGGACGGTCTTGTCAGAGCGCCCTCATTCTTCCTTGCTGTATGGGTGGGACCAGGGATCACTTGGGCATTTAGGGTCCCCTGACACTTCCTGTTTGGTGGCCACTGTGATCAGCGTTGGTAATGCCAGCTGCTGCTTTTCAGTTGTCTGGGCTCTGGGCCTTCCTGCCTTCTTACTGTTTCTTCAGCACTTTTTTTTTTTTTTTTTTAAACATGAGCTTCTGCGCACTGGGTAATGGAATAGATGACATCAGATGCTGCGTTAGCTAGCCCCCGCCCCCCGCGAAGCTCTGCTGGCTTCTGCAGCACACGATGCCATCCTGGTCTATATTAGGATGAGTTCACACTGCAGACAGGTTTCTTGGAGATGCCTGAGTTCTGTTGGCTGAGAGGTGTGACACTCTGTCTTTTCTTGGTGGTTAGGAGCGTGGAAGGAACAGGGTTCAGTTCCACAGGTGCCACTTGGTGTGCATGACCGTGTGCACGTAACTTAACCCCAGTTTCTCATGGAAAATGAGGTTGATGGTGGTTCCTCACTGCATCACTGTAAGTTGAAATCGAGATAATGTGTGTAAAACGTTTATCCTGGTTCCTAGTGCTTTAATGACCTGATACATAGTGGCCATTGTTAATATATTTGTTACACCCCTTTCAAATTCTGTCAGTCAGCCATACTCTCTGTGGCCACAGTGACAGCGTGCAAAAGCCAGGCTTAGAAGTCAAACAGACCTGGAAAGTTAAGACAATCACATACACCTATATTATGTGGATTAGATGGATAATGGATGTAATCAGAAGCCAACTACATAAGAGCTTTATAGATGCTACTTCTTTAGTCCTCTCAGAAATTCTAAAAGGGAGGTGATATTATTATATGCATTTTATATGGGGGGAATCTGAGATGTTAGCAAGGTGTTAAGTAACTGTTTGGAGCTACAAGCCAATAAGTGGATAAAGCAGGAAGCAGGTGGAATAAGTCATCTATTTCCTGCACCAATGGCTACCATTTATTGAATGGTCTGCAGTTCCTGGTAAAAACTAGGGTTTGAAAACAATAAGTCTTACCTTTCTACACATAATGAACACAATCACAGAGCAGAGTGCATGTTTGGAGCAATGTCTGTGGGAATCACTAGGGAATAAAGACAAGCCACGGGTCTGATGAAACAGGGTTGACAGATCAGATGTTCTCCTGGGGGGTGGGCATGTATAATTCAAATCAATCCTGAGAACCACCATGTGTGGTAGATGAATGGTTCATGTGGATTCTTTCCACACAGATCTTTGAGGTTCCTGATTTCATATGAGACCTGAAAACCTCTTTTCCTAACTGGGAGGCAAAGTGACTCTTAGGGCCCCAGCTGAATAGCACACAGGGTGTGTGAGGATCTGAAAAGACAACCTCATCACAGCCAAGTTTCCAGCCAAGTTTCCACTGGTCCAGAAAAATACATGCACGGAGCAAAGCAGGCTGCAGTCTAGGAACCTGGAGGTGTCAGTCGGGGGCTGGGAGGAAACAGATGGCATGCTCAAATGAGGCGACTGGAGGAGAGTTTAATGAAGGAGCTGTTTACGAAGGTGAAGGGGACCTATGAGATATAGTTCCACATTTCCCCGGGATTGGTAATAGCCAGTGTTCTCATTGCTCCTGGGTTTGAGGAGATAGGACACAGAGATTACCATGTGGAGGGTACCCAGCAGGAGCTATGGTCTTTGATTGAGGGGTTCAGCCAACCCATGGTGACACAGCAAGGCAGAAGCAGATATTTGAAAAGCCCTGTTTCACTTTCCTGCCTGATCCCCAGTCTCTGGCCTGGGATCCCCATTGTTGGAGCCCAACCAGGTACCGTGGGTAAAGGGCACCATTGATTCTGTGAGCCCAGATCAGCCCTTAGGAGTACGAAGCAGGGTGGCAGAGAGTGAAGTGGCAAAAGGGAGATTTTGGAACTACCCGAGTGACAAAGAGGCCATCGTTTCCCTGCAGCTGATGATTTGCAGGCACAGTCATACTTGGGACCCTGCGATAGTGACTGTCTATGGAATTGTGGCACACAGTGGCTGAGGCACGACTGGACTGGAGCAAGCCCAGTTGGAAGTGGAACATTGCCTTCTGTCCTGCTGCACTGGAGTGGGGTCACTCAACCCACTGAAATTGAATTGTGTGTGGAACCTAAGTTTTCTCTGTGGCCATTTTCATGAATGCAAGAAATGACCTGGAGAACTTGATAAGCTCAGGAGTGACTTTGATTGCAGAGTACTTCATGCCCTCCAAACCTGGTTTAAAATTCACCTCTGTGGAGTTTTCCCTGATATTGTGTGTGTGTGTGTGTGTGTTTCACACACACAAGTAATAAAGTACAGCCATCTTTTGCTATCTGCAGGGGGTGATTCCAGAAACTGCCCCTTCTCTACCCCCCATCTTAGGAAAAGAGTTCTCAGGAAAGGTGGTTTGTAGCTCTAATCTTAGATCAGGAACCCCGGAGACCTGTGTGGACAGAATCACATGAACCTCTGGGACCTAGCCATCTAGCATATATAGTGGTTCTCAGGATTAATTTGAATTATACATGCCAAGCCCCCAGGAGACTTACCCATGCTCGAGTCCTGTATATAAAATGGCCTAGTACTTGCATATAACATATGCACATCTTCCTGCCCACTTTAAATCATTTCAGGAAGACTTGTGATACCTAATAGAATGTAGTTCTATGTAAATAGTTTCTGTATTATTTGGGGAATAATGATAGGCAGGGGGTGGGGTCTGTGCATATTCAGTTTAAGGGAAAATTTTTTAAAAAATATTTTGATATTGGGTTGACTCTGTAGATGTAGGGACCTCGTGAATACAAGGCCCCCACAATGGCATGTTGTATTCATCTCCATATGCCCAGAGCCTGACACCAAGCTGACATATCCTGGGATACCAAGAAACATACATGAAGCCATAACAACTCTGTAGTCCCCAGCAGATTTTCACTTCACTGGCATTTGTTAAGCCCCTACTATTTCCAATCACTGCATTTGGCAATTCTCATATCAATTTTCTTTTGCAATATTCCCCAGTGCCCTGGTTAGATTGTCCCCATTTGTACAAATGAGGAAACTGAGGCTCAGAGAGAAGAAAGAAGCAAAAACATAGATTTGAATAGAGTTCCGCTTCCCTGATCTAATGCCCTTTCCTTTTTTGCTGAGAAGCTGCCCCTGGATTGGTCACTGAACAGCGCCTTCATGCATATGCATGAGCTGACTGCATGAATGGGCCCAGTAAGCTCTGTGTGTGCTTTGTGAAGCTCAGAACCTATCATGGAGGGTGTGGGTCTGCTTACAGTGCTTGTCCCACTTTTTTTGTTTGTTTGTTTGTTTAACATTTAAAAATGTTCTCCTTAACATATTAACAATTGTACATACTTATGGGGGGTACAGTGTGATATTTCAATGCATGGATAGAGTGTGTACTGATGGATTCAGGGAATTAATATCTCCATTTCCTCCCCATTATTTCCTGTTTGGAGCATTTGAGCTGCTCTCTTCTACTTACTATTAAAACATATACTAGGCTATTGTGAGGTACAAGTCACCTCCCTGTGCTGTAGAACCCTGGAATTTACTCCTTCTACCTAACCATGCATCACCCACTCGTCTCACTTCGATGGTTGCTGCCAACTGGAGTAATCATAGTCTCCCCAAAGGGCCTGCCTGGAGCCCACTCTGCCAAAGGAGCAGGAGATGCAATCAGGTGGCTGCTGTCCCTAACCTAGCTCCAAACTGGATGCAAGCAACGTGGCTTGGCCATACTTACCTTTGCTCCCATTGACAGAACACGCGTATTTCTGACAGTCTCTTCTGTTGAATAGTGAGAATATGAAATTGTCAAGTGCCCACCCTTTAGGTGCTCTCAATGGAGCTGCCAAAATTCTAACTGGCCAATAAAATCTGTCTTAGACAAGTGCCCCACCTCCACCATGCCCACTTAGCAAAAAGAGAACAAAAGTTAAGATCCTTCTGTCCATATTCCATATGCCCTGATCTTGCACACAGTTCTCGCATTATCTTCATAACAGATCTGAGGATACTTTATGGAAAATGATCACAAGGTTCTGGGGTGATGGGACTTTTGTCCCTAAGTCACAGAGCTGGGGTTTGGCAGAGCCAGGACCTTGGGCAGACCTGCATGTTGCTTCTTTCAAGGATTGGACCAGCCCTAGGGTGCTTTCTGCTGATTCTAAGCCTGCAGCCTCAATCATGGGTGGAATCTCCTTAGTCTCTCCGCTGTCTGCCCTGTTTTCCTAAGGATTCAGGGCAGCTTTGGATGTGGCCTAGAAAAACATCTTCCTGACAAGAGCAGGTGGGGCGGGACGGGAAAGTGTTCCTGTTGTCTCCCTCCACACTGAAGTCATGGTGCCCCGCACATATTTACTGAGCACGACTGGGTATGAAGTGTCCCATGGGAGAATTTCTCGGCTGCCGCTGTTTCCTCTCTGTGGCGACCCACGTGGTGGGGGTGGCAGGGATAGCCTGTTTTGTGGACGGTAATGCTGAGACTGTGAGGCGCGGAAGAACTTGCTCCAGGCCACAGGGTGGTGAGGGGCAGAGCTGGGACAGGCTGTTGGCTTGGTCCGCTGGGCTCTCCGCAACAGCACCCTGCTCAGGAACATTTGGTTGGGTGAACAGAAAAGGAAGGACAGAAGGAGAAGGAAGAGGGAGAGGGGAAACATTTTCTAAGACAGCAAAATGAAAAGAAGTGATTAAATATTTCCAAGCAGTAAATTGGTGGAAGATTACAGAAATGGGTCTGGGATCTCGCTTCCTCTCTCCAGATCACAAAAGTAAGGCAGACGTCCACCATCAGAGAAAAGAAACACAGCAGCAGTGGGAGCGGAGCCGCAGAATGAAGGGGCCTTCCTCTGGGCTTTGGTGGGGATGGAGACCTGAGATGGCAGTTGCACACTATGCAGCAGGTGCGCTCCGGTGGAAACAGTCATGTTCTTGGCAATGAACTTGCATGGTGTGTGAACATGTTATCCACATACATGTGCAGTGAGGTGGGAGCAGCCGTTGCCCCTTGGGTTACCATTTCCTAGCTTCCCAGCCTTAGTATTCTCACCTTGTAGGATAGGATGACAAGATTCCCCCTTCGTAGGAGGTTAGCAAATCAAGCTAAGTGATGAATATAAACACCAGACAGGGGCTTAGTTAAATGTTTTCCTGTGGCCTTCCAGTTAATTCATCTGTTGTTTGTTTGCAATGCTGCGGTGAACACAGAGTCTCATGCATAATAGGCAAGTTCTCTACTACTGGGCCACACCCCCAGCCCCAACTCACTCACTATTCAACAGAAGTAAGGGAAAGCAGAGTGGCTTCTTCGGCTTCCAGCTCCAGTTCCCCACAAGAGCACCTGCAGGCACTCAGAATAATGGGGAGTCCATAGTCCATAGTCTGGAGCCAGATTTGAGGGTTTAAAACTGGCTTTGCCCCTTGCAAGATGGGTGACCTGGGAACTTACTTAACCTCCCTTTGCCTACTTTTCTCTTCTGTGAAGTGGGAATAATTATAGGACCTCCATGTTAGAGTTCTTAAGAAAAGTACAGTCCCTTGGAAGAGCATGCCTGACACAGCAAAGGCTGGGAGGTGTGAGTTCTTACAACAGCATCATTTTTCTCTGTGCTGAATGTTTTCTTCTGGCTGCATTTCAGCATTGTCCCCTCCCCCTCATATTCTGGCCGCTGAGCTGGAGGACCCAGATCTGCAGGGCAGCCAGGGGAGCGCCTCATCATCTTGCAATGATGTCAGGAGGGCTCCTTATCAATAATGGAACAGCTCTTCCAGGAACCCAATCTAGAGAGCACAGAACCCAATCTGGCTGCAACGGGGCCTGTCTGGCCAGGGTTCCCGGAAGGCTCTGGGCAGAAGCGGGATTGTTATCTTGGTGCTGTGGGTGGAGGGTTTTGGTGGCCTCACATCAGGGGCTCTTCAGCTCTGCCCCCAGATCCTGCTGCAATGCCCTCAGAAGAGCTCTGCCTCTCACCTGCTGTGCCGGAGCCAGGAGCCTGGCAGTCATTCTGAACAGCCCCCAGCCCTGGCCTTGCTCCTCGCCCCCAAAGCATCAAATACAGATGATGCTGTTTTTAAACATGTCCCAAATCTCATTACCACCAACCTCATCTGGCCATGCCTGGGCATCTATAGCAGCATCTCTCTAACATCCCATATACCTCTCCCCGTATACCTCTCTCCCACACCCACATTTCCAACACACACACACACACACACACACACACTCGTCTTTCTAAAATGCACCTCTGGTGGTCTTACCTCTTGCCTGAGCTCTTCATGTCCGGCGTTGCTCTTGGGGGTGCCCACCCCTCCACTGCCTGCTCAAACCCTGGGGCCACCTCTGTCCAGCTGCATCCAGAGCCTTCTGGTCTCCATTCATGACCTCCGGGCCACACTCTGGTCTCCACCTCTGTCCCAGGAGAGCTCTTCTAACCTCGGGCCCTGCCCCTCCTGTTCTCCCTGCCATGGCGGCTCCTGTCTGTCACGTAGCTCTCAGGTAAAGTTCCCTCCTCCAGGGAGCCCTCCCTGGATCTCCCTGCTGGACATGCCTTCACACCTCTGCCCTTCTTCCCTGTCAGAGTCCTGAATATTTCTGCCATGACACCAGTCCCAAGAAGAATGGTTCTGTCAACCTACCAGCTCTCTCATTTGTCATCTTCTCTCCCACTACAAGGTGAGCCCCTTGGGGACACAAATCCCGTCTTGCTCACAGTCATAGCGTAAGAGCCCCCAGTAGTCCCTGGCTCCTGGCAGGTGTGTAGCAGATACTTTTTAACTAGCTCGATGGTCGTAGGAGGCTGTGGGGTAGACTGGAGTAGGTGCTGGGTTTGGTCCCCTGTGGATTCCTGCTCTCTGTGTGTGGTTGGGCACATTGTTGTACCTCTCAGAAGGAGATCTGGGCTCTGGTTCAGACCCTGCCATTTCCTGGCTGTGTGACCTTGGACAGCTCATCTTACCTCTCTGAACCTCCTTCTCCTTATCTGTCAAATGGGGAGTGGACAGCCCACCTTAAAAGAGAACTGTCAAGATTCTGTGAGGACATGAGGGTGGAGTTTGGAATATTCTGGGGGTGAGGGGAAGGGAGCCCAGATCCCCCAAATCCCATTGACTTGCACCTAATAGGACAGAGTCCCTGTTTCATTTATAGAAACCACAGCCAGAGGCAATCGTCCCACCACAAGCCTGGGGGGACGGCACCCCACTTTCAAGCAACCAAGCCAAGGTAACTGGTTGGAGTATCTGCCGTGTCCTCGGAGTGAGGGAGGTCTGGCTCGGATTCCACTTGGTTTTCTTTGGGCAAGGGCTGCCAGGGAGCTCGGAGGCCATGGGCACTCGGCCAACAGCTTTTGGGTGTCCATCATGCAAACTGGACATTACTCCATGGATTGTTTATGGCACACAGTTGACCTTACAGTTACTCCCCCCCCCCCCCCAAGAGACTTGAAGTTGTAACATTTGCTTGATTGTAGAGACTTTATCATGATTCAGGTTGGAAAAGATCATAAAGGATAAGAAAATTGGTGGATGCTTTGCACCCGTGTCAGAGCTGTCGGTGATAAGGCAGGTGCCACGTGACCCAACACCAGCAGAAGCTGGTGGCATTTAGGTTTTAGGTTTTATGGCTACGAACCCCCAGCTATAAAAACACCTTTAGTGTTTGACATTTCTGCAGGAAAAATCATTGTTGCTATTGTAACTCTAAAGCTCTCCAGGACAATCCTCCCCCATCTTTCTTCCGATCCCATTGAAACAATTTATTTTATAACCATGACCTAGAAGTCAGGGTTGCTCCGGCTTTAGAGCCAGACAGGGCCATCAATGCTTAGCAGCTCTGCTTCTGCTGCTTGCTGGGATGGGCACTGTGCTTATCTTTGAAAGAAGATAACATGGGCAAAGCACTCAACCTAGGCCTGGCGTGTGGTGAGCTCTCCATAAACATGAGCTCATGGTGTTTATAGAGTAAACAGTAAACATTGCTCCCGCTCTTTTTATATAACAGTAATAAAAGTTAAATGTGCTCTGTAGCCTCAGATCCTTGTGGGGGGTGGGGAGTGAAAGAAGCAGAACAGAAATTCTAAGAGTCTGGAGTATGTTTTACCTGGCTGGATGGAGGGAACTTGGCTCCCATGCAGGTGACCCTGAGCACAGTCATCCTACAGGTACCAAGAGACACCTGACTCACTCCTAAAGCCAAATCAGATACGACGTCCCCAGTAGGGTGGAAGGGGGACATATCCCAGGCACCTCCAAACATCTGATTGCACTTAAATCTCATTGTGATTTGGGCGACAGGGTAGGTGCTCTCCACCTTGCACAGAGAAGCTAAGTCTCAGCACAATTTAGTGACTTGCCAGATAATAGAGCTGGAGAATGGCCAGGCTGGATCGGAACCCAGACCTTTCGAACTCTAAAGCCCGCAATTGTCTGCCATCTGGAACAGAAACCCAGGCCTTGGCTTTTCTTTAGAAACCTGCGAGGCAGTGAGCTTGACAAGTTTGCATTTCTTTACAAAGTGGCATCCTCAGCTACCATTGTCTTCCAGTGTCCCCATCCTGTTCTGTGGGCAGCCCCGCACAGGGCCTTTGGCTTATTTGCCTTTGCTGCTCAAGCCTCTCATCTGTAACCCAACCCAGGATCCTAACAGAACCCAGTTGCAGTAAGTGATCGGCTGTCAGAGCTGCTTAAATATTTCATGGTGGCCTGAATTGCTCTTCTCTAGGGGCAGACAAGGCAGCTAATGGATCAGTGCAGGCACCAGATGTCCAGGGGCTGAGGAAGGTCAATGGGCCAGGCAGGAGGCAAGCAGAGGGTGCCCACTTCACACCAAGCCTCTTGCTGGGGGCAAGGCAGCAAAAGCACATTCCTAAGGGTCCAACCTTAAAATCCCAGTGTAGGTAGGCCTTCAAAACGGACTTAGAGTAAAAGCTGTTTAGTGTTTTATTATCCTTATATCAACCGATACAATCTTCTAAGGACCACACACGCGCGCGCGCGCACACACACACCTGCACGCACACATGCATGCACGCACACACACACACACACACCAGAAGGAAACTCACTAAACACCCCGATCTGCAGGTGGGCTGATTGAGGCTCCTGGAATTGAAATGATGGGCTCTAGGTCACCCTGGAGCTAATAACATTTTAGGATTCGATCCCAGTTTTCTCTGTGTCCATCTAAGAGAAGTAGCCAGTTATTGGAAAGAACATGGAATGTGGAGAGAGGAACTGGGATCCCATCCCATGACTTCTGCCCTCTGCCTAGTGCCAAATTCCTTCCCTGTCCGAGCCTCAGTTCATCTTCTGAGGAATTTGGGGGTCCCTGACGTGATCGCCACCATAACATTTCCTACAACAGCAGATTAGGTGGGGGCTACTGGCGGAGAAGGCAGGGGGTGTCCAGAGGGATGCTAAGTCCAAACTCTGTGCCAGGGTCGTTTCCTAGAGAATGGCATCACCCATCCTGAGCAGAGAAGGGAACTGCAGACAGGAAGATGCCTATGCAATGCTTGTCGGTTGTCTAAAAGTTCATCTGCAAAAGGAGACTGCTGGTGGTCAGGGGAAGCCACGGGTCATCCACTGGAAGCCGTGTCCTGAGCTCGGAAGCTGGCGCTGTGATGGAAACCAGAAGCCTGAATCCAAGAGGAGACAGATGAAGAGTCCTAAAAGTGTCCAACAAGACAGAAGCCCTGGGCTGGGGATGTGGCTCAAGTGGTAGCACGCTCGCCTGGCATGCGTGTGGCCCAGGTTCGATCCTCAGCACCACATACAAACAAAGATGTGTCAGCTAAAAACTAAAAAAAATAAATAAATATTTAAATTCTCTCTCTCTCTCTCTCTCTTGGAAGCCCTGGCTCAGAAGGCCAGCTGTCCACTTCTCATTCCTGCAGAAATGACCCAGTGAGAGCCTACTATGTGCCAGACACCAAGCTAAGTCCTGGAGACAGGGAAAGCATAAGACCGACTCGCCCCTGCTCCCTTGGGGCCTATGTTCCAGCGTGGGGAGGAGGCTGCTCTCTAAATAAGGGACATTTAATGAGTCCCTGGGGCTCTGCAGGAAGCAGCAGGATGGGATAAAGGAGTATCGGGCCTGAAGGAGGCACATCAACAGGGAGGTAACAGGGAGTGACTCTGAGCTGGACCTGAGGGACGAAGTGGAGCCAGCCAGCAGAGGGGGAAAGCGCCCACGCTGTGTGGAAAAGGGCGCCTTCAGCTGAACATGACAGAGAAGCCAAACCCAAGGTGGCTTCTATGATAAGGTCACCTTTTAATCTCACGGAGCAGGGAGTGCTCCCGCAGAAGGGTGGGAAGAGGGGAGGCAGCTCTGCTCAGCCATATCACCAGAGCCGGGCTCCTTCCGTGTTACTCCTCTGCCAAACCCAGTACCCCTCGAGGTCCCTGCAGTGCCAGGCACATCAAGACCTGACCGTGTCAAGGGGACAGAAGAAAATCTCTCATGTCCTCTTTAAAAGCTGGGGACACTGGATTTCTCTTGGTGTCCCCAGCACCCTTTCCTTCATAGTGGAACTGGCTCGCAAGTCCAGCCCCCAACTGACCCCAAGGGGTGGGAATGCCATCCCCTATGCCTGTGGCGGTATCCGACTGGGATAGGGGTGGAGAGCCTCTCCTGGCGGGTGGAAACTTCTATCCAATCAGGGCTCTGTGGGCCACGAGGGCGAGGGAGAGGGAATCCAAGCACCCAACAGTAGCCAGTACAAATGGACCAAGCTGGACCCTAGAGGAGGGACGAGATGGCGAATGAAGACAGAACAAGATGTCCCAGGACAGGCAAGGTCAGGGGCCCCCGGACTTGCTTGTAAACAGGCAAAATTACTCATCTGTGAGAAACAAAAACAGCAATGATATAGAGTCACTCCTTGGTGTCTGCAGGCCTTAGTTCCAGGACCCCTGTAGATCCCCAAATCCGTGGGTCCTCAAGTTTCTTGTATAAAATGGCATAGTTTTTGCATTATAACCTACAAATGAATGAATGCATCTTCCTTTACACTTTAAATAACCCCTATAGTATTTATAATATCTAATAATATATAAATAGTTGTTACACTGTATTGTTTAGGAAGTAATGACAGAAACGTCTGTACATGTTCAGGAAAGATGTAATTCTTTTCTCCCCAAGTATATTCTATGTGCGGTTGGTTGGAGCCACAGATGCGCTTGAATATAGAATCCACTGTATTTGATAAACATAAGGGACCAACAATGACGGGGCTCCCCTTATTTTATGTATCCCTCAGGAAGAAGAACTACTATCCACTAAACTTTAACATGCCATCGACTGTAAACCTATTCTGATTCTTGAGACGTTAAAATGTGTGTGTGGAGGGAAAGCCATTGTTAGGGACCATGGAACAGTCACTGGTATATGGTGGCACCAACTCCTGGGGCAGAGGAGGCTGGAGTTCAAATCTAGGCCTCCTTTCCTGTTCCCATGTTGATTTCTTTTTTTTTTTTTCTCCCAGTATGGTGATAAGGTCTGATAAGGTCTCTGTAGCATTTGTTAAGACGGTACCTTGGGAGCGTGGCCAATGGGTTTGCCTCATATGGTGGGAGGGGAAAAATCACATGCTAGGTTTGAGTTCCTCTTGGACCACCCAGTTCAGAGAGCATGTGGGAAGGTGCAGCCCTGGGCATGTTTTCCTGGCTGTCCCCACAGGTTGCTATGAGGATTCACTGAAGCAACATCCAGGAACCTTGTAGACCATCAGCCCCCACACAGAGGTACTCAATCCATTCCTTCCCTTTCTTCCTGCAACTGGGGGAGGATTCAAACAGCTCCTAAGGATAAAAATGACTCCTGTCTCACCTCCCCTTCAAAGCCCACCTGCCCCAACGAAGCCCCATCCTCCACGTAACCTTTAAGTCAACAGTCCGTGGAAATGGGCACCATTTTGGACCACTCGACGTGGGCCCCAGTGTGCTCTGGCCAATCTACCACTGACGGTGCTTGCTGTTTCAGTCACCGACACCTGTGCCTCCAAGTGACCGCCCCCATCCTACAAGGAAGCAAATGTCTTGGATCAACTGGCTTCCAGTGTCCTCTTGTGCCTACACCTTGGTGCTTCTTTAGGATAAGATTGACTCGAAGCCTCCTTCCTGAATTCTGGAATCCCCGATTCAACTTGGGGTTCGTTATCTCTAATATGCTGCACAATTCCCTTTGTACCTTCTATGGCACAGGATTGAGGCATAATTTATCCAAGTCTATCATGGGAGGTTTGTTTTTATTTTATTTTTTTTTAGAAAGAGAAAATTAATGTGCATGCCTTATCAAAGAATTCAGTCGATTGTTTAATCACCAGATGTTTATCAGGAATGGACTTCTGGGCCAATTACTGCGCTAAGTGCCTAATAACTCATTCCCCGGTTAATGACACACGAGCCTTTCAGGTCAGTATTCTCAAGCCCATTCAGGAGAGGGAAATACTAAGATCAGAATGGAGACTAACTGGCTGGACTGGTTATTCTCCATTTAAATCCCCAGAGTCCTTCTCTCTCTGCCCTCTGTCCTCTGTCTTTGCTCCCGGGCTCCCTTTCCCTCTGGGCTTCCTGCTGGGACCAGCCAATGGGAAGTACCCGTGGGAGGAGAGACTTCTCTCTCCTCCCCACCCTGCCTGGCTGGATGCCACCTGGCTGCCCAGCTCTGCTTCCCTCAATGCCTTGATTCCTCAGGGACTCCAGTAGTACCATTTCCTTTGTCCCTCAGCCCTAGAGTGGTACCTTCTCCCCACCGAGCCCTCCCGGCCAGCTCCACAACCCTGGTTTGTTCCCTACCCCTCCCGGCACTTCCAGCCGTGGTCCCTCCCTGCAGGGCCTTCCTCTGGACCATCGGCATGAGCGGTTCCTCCAGGAGCCTAACTTTGACACCTGGGTCAAGGCCACTCAGGGACTAAGTGGAGGAAGGGGGCCCAGGATACTCACAGTCGACATCGTTCCCACCCCTGTTATCCCGAGAATTTATTATTTACTTATTTGGGGATAGAAAAGAGGAGCTGTGTTCAAACTTCAAAATGACTCTTTTTTTAGAATCCACTGAGAGCATGTGTGTGCTTCGAAAGTCCTCTTCACCCTCACCCGGCTGAAACCAATCACCTGCTTCCTTTGGAAAGACTCGGCCAGCTGCAGATTCAAAGACGAAACTGTGTCCATCAGTGCACCTGAGAGAGAACACAAACTGGGTGGCTGAGAACAGGATCATCCAGGTCCCTCACAGCATCAGAGGTCAGAGGGCCCAGTCAGTGGCCAGCAGGGCTGTCCAGAACTTGGGTAAAATGCTCTCTAGCCTCCTGCTGGCTTCTCCCAGTGGCTGGCTGTCTTCTGCATTCCTTGGCCAGCAAATAGAACAGTCCAGTCTCTGCCTCTGCTGTTCCAGGGCACTCTCCCTGGAGTGTCCAAGGGTCTGTGGCTCTTCTGATACACTGGTCATATTGGATTAAGGGCCCTTCCTGCTCCTGGATGACCTCGTCTCAGCTAATTACATCTTCAACATCTCTGTGTCCAAATCAGGTCATACCGGAAGGCACTGGGGTCAGGGCTTCAAGGAATCTTTTTGGGTAACACAGTTTAACCCACACAGACCTATCTACCTATCACTGAAGACCAGGGATTGGCTCGATGGGGGTCTGACTTCCCTTTAACATGATTTAAGGACAGAAAAAGAGCAGGAGTTATCATAAACATTTAAGGGCGGTGCCCTCTTTTTTTTTTTTTTTTTAACAACCACAGGCAACAATGCTTTCAGAGCAAAGCAATATTTTTATAGATAAGTGACAGGGATGGTGGTGGTGGAGACTTAAGAAATGGACGACTAGATAGAAGATCATTTTCCCAGAACCCACAGGATCTGTGGATGCATTCAGTGTGTGTGTGTGTGTTGGTGTTTGGGCAATGAGGGTGAGCCTTCTGGATTGGATCCGAAGTGTCCCCCAAAAGCTCATGTGTTAAAGGCTTAGTTCCCAAGTGTAGCAACGTTTAGAGGTGAGGCTTGTGGGAGGTGACTGGGTCATGAGGACTCTGACCTCTTCAGTGATTTAATCCATTCGTAAATTTGTGGCTTAATGGGCAATTGGGAGGTAGTGCTAACTTCAGGAGGCGGGGCCCAGTTGGAGGAAGTAGGTCCCTGGAGGGGTTTGTTTTGTCCCCACCTTTTCCTGTCCCACCCCAGCTTGCTCTCTGCATCTGCTCGCCTTGAGCTGAACAGCTCTGATCCACCTCCTGCTCCTGCCATGCTGCTCTGCCTCATTAGAGGTCCAAAACAAAGGATCAAGCCTCTGAACCCTCTGCACTGTGAGCCAGGATCAACCTTTACTCCTTTAAGTTATTTGTCTCAGGTATTTTATCACAGTGACAGTAAACCGACCAACACAAAAAGCTTTAAAACAAACAAACAAACAAAAAACAATTCCCTTTTCTAGTCCTTCAGAATATTCATCGACTTCATGAGCCTATGCAACATGCAAGAGCCGGAGATACAGGGTAGATGAGAGGAGAATCCGGGGCAAGGGGAGAAGGGATCTGTTTTGGGGTTTTGGTCCACCAAAAATAAAAACTTTTTTTTCTAGAGACGAAGATTTTCTTCTACTGGGTCGTCTAACCCAGGGTTACCTGGCAGGGTCCAGACATGTGGCCAATGAAACCTAGAAATACTTTGCAAGGTGGGTTATTCTCATCTGAAGTTACAGGTGTCTCCATTTTATTGATGATCCACCTGGCTGCTCCCAGCACCTTATTTGAAG